CCTGCATGGGGCCAGAGGAGCTGCGTGGGGCCGGGCGCAGGGCACGACAGCCGGGCTTGTGGCTGTCCCGCTCGGGGCGTTGTTTGGGACGAGCTCTGGGAAACTACTGTCAGGGCTGGAGGATTTCAAGCCCCTCATTGTAGGCTTAGCCAGCACATCAGTGCAGACACAGGTCTCAAAGTGCATCTTTGTCCAGTTGCTTTTTGAAAGACTGGTCTCTAATTTGTGACTCTCTACCTTCTGCAGTCAGGTGGACTCCGGCAGAATCCAGAAATTGACTAATCTCAGCCAGGACTCGGGAGTGATGTCGCAACAACTCCTTTACCGAGCTCTGGTATCTGCAAAATGGCTTTCAGAAGCCATCAAGTCCCAGCAAGCTGGCCTGGCCTTGAAAATCGTGGATGCATCGTGGTATTTGCCGAAGATGAAGCGCGATCCGAAGCGCGAGTTTGAGGAGCGCCACATCCCTGGTGCGGTTTTCTTCGACATTGACCAGTGCAGTGACCGAACCTCACCTTACGATCACATGCTGCCCAAGGCTAATGACTTTGCCGAGTATGTGGGGAAGCTGGGCGTGGGGAATGATTCCCATGTTGTGGTGTATGATGGCAGCGACCAAGGTCTCTTCTCAGCACCTCGGGTATGGTGGATGTTCCGGGTCTTTGGACATGAAGCTGTCTCCCTTCTGGATGGTGGCCTGAAGAACTGGCAACGAGAGGGGAATGCACTTAGCTCTGGGAAAACCCAGGTAGCTCCATCTGAGTTCCATGCCTCCTTGGACAAGTCCCTGGTGAAAACATATGAGGACGTCTTAGATAACTTGGATTCCCGTCGCTTCCAACTAGTGGATGCCCGTGCTGCAGGACGGTTCCGGGGAGTAGAGCCAGAGCCCCGAGATGGTAATGCGCCTTCTGAGACAGTGGCATTATAAAGAGGGGTTTCATTTAGGGTGCCCATCACTTTGACTCCTGTAGAGGAAATGCTAGGAAATAGTGGCCATCTTTTATGGGATGGGACTTGAGGCAGTGCGTCCACCTGTCCTCCTTCCCTTTTGACTAGCAAGTGCTACTCTTTGAAAATTCAGCAGTAGGGAGGCCATGTATCTTTTTGTCCTCATGAGGGCCTGGGGTGAGGAACATAGCTTTTGATACACTCTGAAGATTCTCATTGGTCTCTTCAAGTACTGGTGCTACTCTTCCTTTCAGAATGGTCTGTGGAGGGGCTTCATCAGTGTGGGTTGCTCTGATGGGGAGAAAGATATGGAGGGAACTAGGGGAAAGAATGGAACTTGGCAGGGTTGTGCCCATGTGGTGACATGAAGGTTAAACATAGAGCCATCCTTCCTGAGTAATCAGTAATCTAGTAAAGCAAAGTGCAACAAAAATAAATGTACTTGTTTTAACAAAATACTCTAATATTCCTCTCAGTGAAACAGAAGAGGCTTTGCAATAGACTTGTCCCAGACAATAGAGGCCAATTCCTGTCTGTATTGTTTTTTCTCTAGGAATTGAGCCTGGTCATGTCCCCGGGTCGACGAGCATCCCCTTCACTGATTTCCTCACAGAGTCTGGCTTAGAGAAGACCCCTGAGCAGATCCGCACTCTGTTCCAGGAGAAGAAGGTGGACCTCTTGAAGCCAGTGGTAGCCACGTGTGGCTCTGGGGTCACTGCCTGCCATGTGGCTCTGGGGGCCTACCTCTGTGGCAAGCCAGATGTCGCAGTGTACGACGGGGCCTGGGTGGAATGGTACATGCGGGCACAGCCTGAAAATATTATTTCTGAGGGAAAGGGGAAAACAGTGTAATAAGCTGCATTGTTTCCCAGCTGTGCACGTAGCTTGCCTTGAAACAGGATTTGGAAAAGATGGGTTTAGCTTTCCTGATTAAGTGTCTTGAGATGAAGGCATTGGATAACAATCATGCGCACATGGTGCTTCGGCACTTTCTCCTTACCCTGCTGCTGCTTAGGAGGATGAAGATGACAGCAGTTCTGGGCAGCCAGCTCTAGGTGACCCTGCTTGAGAAAATAGGGTGGAACAGATGTCCTCTCAAGGTCACTTCTAACCTCAGCCATTCTGTGATTCTGTGACCATTTCACCTTATCAGTTGGATGGCAGAGAGTGCTGCTGCCAGTATGGGGAATTAATTGAGTTAAGCCAAGCTCCTGACTCAAAACATTCAATCATGCTCATTCACGGGATGGTCATACTTATATAACTGTGCCTCATAATCCTGCTCTCTGCTTCTGTCCCATCCATGCATGTTATGGCCACTTTGAGTGCAAAACTTTGTGGGAAGAGATGGCTGTTAAAGGAGCAAATACAGCATTCAGGTTGGCACTTAGGCTAGAGACTTGATTTGTGTTTCTTCTTGTACTTGGACTCTAGTGTGTACTTAGCCAGCCTTGTAGCCCTATTGTCCAAAATCCCCCTTGAGAAAAAGAAAAGATTATGGGATTTAAACCATGTAAATAAACATGTTTCAAGGTCTTTCTGCTGAATGGAATTTACCTGAGTGTTGCTTAGGTGAATACTTTTCAAGAGTTCTGTTTTTATGGAATCACGTTGTCCGCAGTGAGATTCAAATGAGACATTTCCTTCTCTCTGAAAGTAGAGCCACACCTGTTAACCTCAACAAGCTCTTTGACCCAGGAAGGACAGTGACATGCCTCTCTCCTGGGTCTCTGCACCATCTACCTGCTTTCAGTTCTAAGTCCATTTGCTTTTTTTGCCTTAAAGTCCACAGTTGTAGGTTACAGCTCTGTTCTTGAAACACTGGATGTCAGCTTACATAGTGGAAAATGGACTGCATGGGTATTTTCATTCTTGCCATGTAACCTTTCCCTGCAAACTTAGCAGAACTGAGACCTTCAGAGGAATAGCCCACACTGAAACCTATTTTTCCCCAAGACCTTTTTCTTTTATGTCTAAGAGTTGAAAGTACACCAGGTATCCCTGATAATGTTCAAGATTTTGTTCTCTCTGAGATTTTCTCCTCATGTGAGGAGAAAATGCCCAAAACTAAACAAAAAAAAAACCCACAGAAACCTCCCGCCAAAAAAAAAAAAACAAAAAAAAAACCCCAAAAGCCTGCATCTCTTTTGGCCTACTGCTAACTTAAAAGTTAATGTGACAGTTTCTTCTCTTGGGCTTGCAGCAACAGGTACCTGTAAACATCTGTGGATAGTGGGGTTGGACTTTCTAGGGAATGCAGTGGGTACTTATTGTCACAGTTTTGACTGTAAGGACTGGATTCTTCCCTATTGCTGGGTGTTTATTCTTTGCATTTCCTCTTACCTCTTCTGGCTGCTTCTTCTTGGCCTTGGCTTGCATGCATGGAAGTTCTGTTTCTGCTCACCTCCTGGGCAGCTGGAATTTCACTGTCCAGTTTATTTCTTCTCTGTCCTCCCCACTCACACATAGGGTCTGAGCACCCAGTGACTGACAGCCTGCGATTTCCCTGCTTGCGTCCAGACTGACAACCCAGCTCTTGAAGGCCTTGGGGCTGGCATTGCAGCAAGTGCTGAGCATACTGGGTGCACAGGGGTCTGAAACGAGTGACCCTTGTCACAACAACACCATAGGGAGGTTGATTTTGTGATTATGTGGCCAGATGAGTGCCTGCTCTGTTTCTCCAAGAAAATTTAGTTATTAGGAAAATTGACATATTGTTTCAGACTTATTTGCAATAGATGCAGGGAGCTGGCTCTTGTGTGTCCTTCCAGTATATTTTTTGATGCATCTCTGTTCCTTTTTTGCCCCTGACCCATCAGTCCTGGGGGTCAGTGGGGAATCTCTCTGCTTCCTCTTGAGACTGGGATGCTTTTCTCTGTCCTGTGTGTTGCAGGCAGATGTGTGACACAGCCCAGCCATCCACCTGGAGATTGCACATTATACTGAAAACTTTCCTCTGCCCTTGCTCTACATTTCACCCCTGCGGCTTGATGACATCTAGCAGGGCCCTTCCCCCTCTCTGGTATTTAGCCAAGCTTGGCAGTACTCAACTGCCCTTCTCTGGCTGAATTTTCTGCTACAAAATCTCAGTGATTCTTCCCAGCTTTTGGCAAATCTTTTCCCAGATGCTTAACTTTGCCTTCATTTCTCCACAGAGGAGAAACTGAGAGCTTCTTCCCCACAGCAAGATACTTTGTTTTTCTGAGGTATTCCCTCTTATATCATGTATCAAAAATCTATCCAGGAGTGTCTTCTGATGTTCCCCCTATTTTTCCTTGAGATCCCTTCTGGTGATGCAGGCAAAGCACTGAGAAGGTTGTGAAGACCGAGGCAATGTTTTCAAATCCTGGAGACTTGAAAAACCTATTTTGAGCTATAACAGATGCTACTGGACATATGGAACAGCTGAGGGGACTTACACCAGGACTATAAATGTTCTGCAGATCTTTATGTCCCTGACTCTGGGTGGGTTTCCTATAGGAACCAAAAGCTGGGGAGAAGTGGATATAATGCAGATCACTAATGTTCATGATTTTCCTGTGGAAAATTTGCCACAGGGGATTGGTAATAGCATATCTTTGGTAGGGCTCATGGTAGCCAAAAAGGTAGCCTAAACAACAGCCCTGATTTAGGAGGAAGGTCACACTGACCTGTGGCTACCTTGGGACTAGAGTTTTTACTGCTTTCTATATAAATTTGAGAATCCCAGGCCAGCATGTAAACTGTTTATTGGTATATTTTACTATCTGCAATACTTTTGTCCTGAAGGAGGTTTGGATTCTGTGCAGTCTGGTCTAGTCAAAAGTAATCCCATGGTCCCCTGTTCTTCACTTGTCTTCTTTGTCACCTCTCTTCCTCTTCCTTCCATCCTGCTCCCTAGCAGTCAGGCTGCACTATTTCATGCTTCATTTCCCAGCAAACTTTGTTTCTCTGCAAATTTTTCCAAATTCTAAAGCAGCCCTTCTACCAGCACCACTGGCCCGAGCACTGCATGAGCCATGGTAATTGTTGTTCCCTGCAGGGACTTCTCATATTCCTCCCATCTCTCCTGGTGCCAGCTTACATCCAGGTGCTACACAACCATTCTGTCTCCTCCTCCCAGCAGTCTTCAGCAAAGGTGCTGCGTGATGCACATCCACACACAGGCTTTGCACACTGCTTTGAATGCAGGTACATTGCTCACAGACCTCATGCAGCACAAGGAGCTGGAGGAAGAGTAGCTTGCCTGTATGCCATGGAGCCTTTCTCTTCATGCTTCAATGTGCCTGGCTCAGCTGGCAGTCAAGCTGCACTCTGTTATTCAACTGTGTCCGCCCCCAAGTCCAATGTAGGGAATTTTATTTGCCCGATTCCCTGTTGGCTCACTGGCAAAATGTCAGAGCATCACTTGTCTTCCCCTCTCCACTTCCTGCAGAAAAGAGAGTGGCACTGATCCTACATGGACATGCCAATTAGTTTTTCCTGATTTCTTCTCCAGTGCCTCCTGCCATGTGTAATCCCCAGTATGTGTTCCCAGCCTGTCAGAGTGGTGACACTCTGTGCCAACACATGGTGATCCCTGCTCCCACTGTTGGTCCACAAAGCAACATTCCAGAAAAGCAGCTCTACAATGCCAGTGATGCATCATATGCCATGTACCAAGCTGCAGAGCACTGCAATGTGTGTGGCTTTCTGCAGGATTGCATTGCAGGCCTGACTGCTGAACCAAGACACTCCCAGTTTATGTCCTGCTCTCTTCTCCTCAGCTCTTGTTCAGTATCCAGTGGCCATCAAGTTTGTCCTGCTCCTAGTCTGTCTGAGCAATGGTCCCCATGATTTCTCTGGGGTCTCTGCAAGGTTGTAGGGTCTTACAGCATCACACAGCGCTGTGTAAGCTCTTGCTTGCTCTCCCTCTGTGCATATGTTTTATATACAGTTGTCATAAAGGCAGCAGGAACAAGCCATAGACTCATAAAACCATAAAATTGGGAAAGAACTGATATCATTAAGTCCAACCTTTGACCCATCACCACTGATTGTTTAAACTTACCTCTCCTGTGTCCTATTTCTTGATTTTAGGGAACCTTAACAAAGGTGCCTTAATTGCATCTCAGAACTACATCTGGTGCTGGTGTGCAATCAAGTCTGTATTTAGCCTATGCCACCAACTCATCAGAACATTTCAGTTGGTAACTCACCCCACATTGGCTTCTTACTGAAGAGTATTTTCACATACTGTGGGGAAATCCCTGGCCTGGTTCATTTTCAATGAATTTTTTGCTGTATATTGCAGAAAAAAAGGCTCTGATGTTACAAGTGGTGTTCCTTGGCATCTTTCCTTACTCACAATATACCTCTTTAGATTTAGCAATTAACTTTTCACCCCATGGCCCTGGGGTGAGCAAGACTTGAGGTTCCAGCCACAAGTGGAGACTGGTATTGATGGAACAAAGTATGCCTCGAATATAGACTGTCCTGGACTCGTGAGCCGCATTGTCATGGGAGAGGTTGGAAAAGAAGATGTTCAGAACAAGAGATGGACCTTAAAAAGAAGAGGCTGAGGGGATGTGAGAGGAGAAAAAGGAGAGGGTGAACACTTGGTGAAAGAGGGATAAAAATTGAAGGTAGGGCAGATTTCTTAGAGGGGGAGATAAGGGGCTATAGTCTGCCACCCAACTACAGCATTCATATCGGAGAGCCACAATCCTCACCCCAGTTCTGTGCTGAAGCTGCAGCCAGCACAGACAGGGTCCTGTAGTCCTCACACACCAGAGGGCAGGGCAGAGGTCTCCAATTTGCTGTGGTTTGACTCAGAGGCAGAATTAGGAGGACAGCAGTCTGACAGCCCAGAGCTGTGTTGCACTGTGATGCTTCAGCCCGGGTCAGTGATAGTCTGAGCATTTTTGATGCATGTTACTGCTCGGTGGAAACTGGTCCCAGGGCTGGGCAGTAATTGTGGCCAGAGCTTGCTCCATATAGGTAGACAAAAATATTTTTTCATGCTCTGTTAATGGTCACTCTAGTGCTGGTTCAAAATTATTTGAATTTACACCCTGGAGCTGCTGAATTGTTCCTGTACTTAAATTAACTGAAGGTCAGCAGTCTTGAAACCTCTTCCGTGTTACCCTCTCTTCCTCTCCTCCCCTTGGCATTCCTCCACAGAAGGAGCAAAGTACACATGCCATCTTTGTGAAGGAAATCCTGGGTGATTGGGGGAAGGGCAATGCTGCCTTCTTCTGTAGTGATAAAAGGGAGTGATTTGCAAGTAAAAGAAGGAAGGACAAGAAGAAAAGGAATGTAAGAGTAAAACATAATGCTTCTCTTTACCCAGCCTCTTCACTCAATAACCCCCCATGTCCAAAGGCACTAAGATCTAAATGCAAGAAAAAGAAAGTGGTGTGTGTCTCTGCGGTGCTGCATTGCCCTGTCAAGGAAGAGCCAGGAAGTTGCTTAGGTGGAGGAAGGTTTTGAGCCACAATGGGGTGAAACACCAGCCTTTCCTTTCCATTCTTAATGTGCTCGAGCTGCTGGCAAGCACAGCTGTGCTTAGGTGAGAGTGGGAAAGGCAGAGCTGTTGGAGAGAGCTTGTTCAGATTGTTTCTGTGCCAAGGAGTGTGTTTGAACAGAGTCCCCTGGGGCATGAACTGCTGAGCACCAGGCTCGGCCTGGCAGGAGCGAGTGGCAGAGGCAGGGCTAGATTCCATACCACGGGATTGGCACATCAGCCTCGGCGGGTGATACATGCCTGGGGCAGAGGTAAAGCTCCACACAGAGCTGAGTTACAGTCTGAGCTCTCTTGCCCAGACACAGACAGGGATGGCAGGAGCCCAGGGGAAGGACGTGGGGGGTTTGCTCTGGTAGAGCAGCACAGGGGGGAGTTTGCTGAGTCAGCAACTCCTCTGAGCTGGAAGAAAAATGATTCCTGCCCCCTGCCAGCACTTCATACAGATCCAAAATACAGTTCCCAGAACTGTCCCTATGTATGTTAGCAAGAAGGCAACTGTCTGCATATTTTGCTGCAAGAAAGTATGGCAACTGATGTGGCACTGAGCACTGAGCCTGGAATAAGGGATGTCCTGAAGGGAATGCTGTGAAGTACAGCCCTGAGGGGCTTAATCTGCCGACTGCCAGGAAACAGCTTGTGCTTGCTGTCTCCGAGGAAGCTTGCAGGCAAGACCTAGGACTGGAAGTAGGCAGAGTACCGTCCGCAGGGCTGGCGCCATGTGTGCAGTGCCCTTCGTTGCAGCATCCTCATTGCAGGAACTGCGAGCTGGGAAAACTACAGTTCCCATCACCCTTTTGTGCATGTCCCGGCGAAACTACAGTTCCCAGAACCTTTTAATGAGCCAGAGAGGATGTCTCTGGAAATAAATGCCGACGATTTTTGCATAACGCCCTGCACCTCCGGAGTGCTGACCCGCCCATGGTCTGTGAAAGCGGGAACGGGGGAAAAGCCAAGGGGGTGTCAGAGCTGTGGAGCTGTGGCTTTGCCCACGCCAATAGCCGCAGCGATATCCTCCAGCGTCGAGCAGCCTTCCTCTTCTCAGGACTCCCTTGGTAGTCACAGGGAAGATCCTGGTCCCCGGGAAACACGGCTGCTGCGGAGGGAGAGGCAGATAAACTACAGATCCCGGCATTCTCCGACAGGCAGCACCTGCGGCAGTCCCTGCACGCCGTGGGGGAGGTGGGGGTGAGGATGAGGATGGAGGGCAGGGAGGAGATGCAGGGCGCCGTGGGGCTACGCTGCACCTGGGACATTCCGCCACCCGCTGGCACCCAGGCCAAGTGGGTGAGGCTCAATGTGGGGGGCACCGTGTTCCTCACCACCAGGCAGACCCTGTGTCGGGAGCAGAAATCTTTCCTGTGTCGCTTGTGCCAGGGCGAGGAGCTGCAGTCGGACCGGGTAAGGCAGCTGGGTTGCCTCCCGCACCGTGCCGCACCGAGCACGGGGAGGGCTGGAGGGATGCAGGGATGGAGCCAGACCCCGGCAGCTGCAGGAGCTGCTGAGTGAGAAATGCCTGCTCTTTGCCCCCCCTCTCCCGGGAAGGATTTCCCCATGCCAGATTCCACCTTGTTGTAGCCTGGCACTTGCCTTCCTGAGCTGGGGAAAAGTGAGGCCATCCCCCCTCTGCTCCTGCTCTTCTTCCTCTTTGTCACCGCACATCCTGGGTTTACTTCCCAGCTGTGTCTGCCTGACTCAGCCTTGTTCCTGTAAGGCGGTCTCTGCTCTCTTGCACCAGGCCGGGATTCACAGTTACACAAAGAGGCTGAGGCCTATTTTTTGGGCTTTTTCAGCTGGATTGATTCATGCTGAAGTGGGCATGCTGAGCAGATCAATACAGGAGTTAAAATCCAAGCTGGACTGACTTGGCTAGGGACTCTCAGGGACCCATGGTTTCCAAAGAATCTTAGAAATAGTAGATATTTTTGCTTAGGTTTGTATTTTCTTGTATTCTAGGGTATTTTACAGTTGGTTACAGTTTTCCATGGGTTTTTTCTCCTTGTGATCTATATCTGTTGCTAGGATGAAACTGGTGCATACCTAATAGATCGGGACCCCACTTACTTTGGACCGATTCTGAATTTCCTCCGCCATGGGAAGCTGGTCCTGGATAAAGATATGGCTGAAGAAGGTGAGTTGTGGAGCTCAGAAAAATCCCACTTCCCATATTCAGGAAAAATAGGACTTGTGATCAACCTTGTTGTCTCTTGTTCTTGTTTTGGATGTTGATGTGGGGTGATTTCAGAGAGCTATCCCTGCAAAGTATGACTATGTCTCCTTTACTAAAGGGGTTTGCAGTGGGTGAGGAAGGCATCCTTGCAGGTGTTGTGGCATCACAACTGTCCAGCAGAGATGTCACCAACACAGAAGTAGGCAGCATCTCAGAGCCTCAATAAGCCATTTTTTACTGGTTCCTGATCTACTTTTAACCAGGCTCTATGACTGAGTTTTCTATTAATGTCTGTTTCTAATTAGAAATGAAAGCCCAATTGACCAAACAAAACCAAGTTCATCTCTTCTACTGACTGCCAAAAGATAAAGACCATCATTAATCAGTGATATGCACTGTTATGCCGCTTGTGCTCTCATGGTCGTGGACTGCAGAAATTCCAGTGGAACAAGTCAGACAAACTAATCCTTCATCTAAGGTTGACAGTGGGTCTAATAGGATGACTTAGTGACATCACAGTGTTACCAGTCAGCAGTCCACAGTGCCTTGTAATTTTTTGGATGCGAGGGTGTAATAAGGAGCCAATTCCAAATACAGGTTGTGCTGTCCAGCCCTTGCCAAGCACGGTTTCTGCATGATCATTTGTCTTCTTGCCTTTCTTAGATATTTTTACCTAAAGCAAGGAAACTTGTAGTCTTACCAGTTATAATTCCAAAAATATACCCAACTAATGGTACAGGATTGTAATAAGCACAATTTTGAGGTGTTTCCTACTTTACATTTCTTGTAATCCTTGGGTCAGAGAGAGTTCATCTGCAGATTTTAATATCAAATCTGAAACATAAACACGAGCCCAGTTAATTTGCATTGCCTTTTTTTATCCTGCTGCAAACATTCAGGCTGGCATAAGACTAACCCAGTAGGACAATACACTGCTGAATGAGAGACACAGAAGAGGTATGAATGTGTCAGGTAGTGAGGGACGTCCCATCTATATTTTCTTTGTACTGCCTTGGGAACATGTGAGTGTTGGCTTCCAGCCACCTTTCCCTCACTGACTCTCTGGGAACCACCTCCCTTTTCCTGAAGGCCTGTTAGCAAACAGGTGAGTCTCAGGAGAGGTGATGGATGCAAACACCATAGAGAAAAAAACAAAACCATTTCTGTTTACCTCTTTTAAGTTGAAGCACAGGGGATAAAGCCAAAGATCATATAAAGTCATATGGGGCTGCAACTCCAAGTGGCCGAGGAGGTAAGCTAGGTTTTTCTAGGGTCTTTTGGTGACTTGTCAGAACTGCAAGTTTTTGTTTTCTGCCTTATTGAGAAAGTCTGAGCAAGGTCAGACAAATGGTCATTGAGAGAGACTGGAGCCTACAGTTGTTCTCCTTGGCCAGGTATCTGGGACAGGTATTGGCAGTCCTCAGCACAAGCCTTCACTGGCAGTGCCTGCTTCTGTAGTAGCAGGCAGCATAAGGAAGTTGGGGTGAGCATTAGAAACAAGATGCAGAGAGCCAAGTTTCAATTCTCTGCAGTAAGGGTTTCAAGCCTGTTAAAAAGAAAAGCAGTAATATAATTTCTCCCTATGGACCTTGTGAGGCTCAGAATTGATCTTTTGCAAGTCAAAAAATAAAGATGGGCTGCTAACTTTCTGTCTTTTTGGTCCTTCTGTCTGTCTTTCTCAGGGATCCTTGAAGAAGCTGAGTTCTATAACATTGGTCCTTTGATCCGAATAATCAAGGATCGAATGGAGGAGAAGGACTACACAGTAACACAGGTATGGAAAGATGGAGTGGGGTGGGGGAAGCAGGGGGTGTAAAAAAGGAGAGAGATGAGTCCAGAGTGAGAGAAGACTTGAGAGAAGCAGCAAGGAATGGAAGGAAACAACTAATTAGAGATTATGTGCTAATCCCAATGCAGCAAAATCTTGCAGGGGACAAGCTACCACCAATTTAGTTACAATAAACAAGTTGCAGTCTTGCTTTGCATCCCAGAAGTAATGCTGGATGTAGTCCCTGAAACTAAGTGAGCTCCTCTAGCTTTTGGAAGAAGGCAGTTGGTTGCTGTGTGATATAGAGGAATGTTTGTGAGGAGAGCAAAGGTGTCATGGGTGTGGGGAGTCCTGGGAGTGTAATCACAATGAAGAGCATGGAAATACCTGTAGAGAAACTGGAGGAAATAGATGAAGAGGTGGCTGTGAAAGAGTTAAATGCAGACAAAGAATCAATCCTGTGGCACAATCACACCCTGTCTTGGCCAGCAACCTTTGAAAATCTTTCTTAGAGGGAGGATTGTCTGCTATCTCACTTTTCATCTTGTCTTCCTCAGATTGTAAGCCTCCAGCAGCACAGCCACTTTGTGCTGCCAAGCCCCCTCAGCATTTGTTGCATTTGCAAAAATTATTTTGTACTTACAAGTGCATAGTCCCCATCAAAATAGGGCAATATCTTCTGGGGACAATGCAGGGAGCACTCAGCTCAGTCCCTACTCTTCAGAAGAGATACTGTTCTTGCCTCCAGTGACAGCACAGGAGAAAACTGGATTGTGGTTTCCACTCCCCTTTCACCTGGGACATGGGGAAGGGGACAGGTCTGTCAAGGAGGGGTATTACCACTTCATTCTACAGGAGGAGAACAGCTTTTAGCATGTGACAGTTGTCAGTGTGCTCTGCAATTTTGCTCTCAGGTGCCTCCTAAGCATGTCTACCGTGTGCTGCAGTGCCAGGAAGAGGAGCTCACTCAGATGGTTTCCACTATGTCAGATGGATGGCGCTTTGAGCAGGTATGGGTAAGGCAGAGCAGGGGGAGAAGGAGTTGTCTTCTGGGGAAAAGATCATGGATACCATACAGTTGCTGGGCATGGCTCCTTCCCTCTCTGAGAATACTGGGTAAGTCATTGATTGACTCATCATGCTCAATCAATGACTCTTTCTTGCCCCTTTCTAGAGGTTTAGAGGATACTGTGTGAGGCCAGCCTGTTTTGCATCCTGGCTGACTTCTCTCCTGCTTCTCTGTGTTGTCTCCTCGGCTTAGTTATGAGGCCTTTCCAACAGGATTATGCATTAGACTCAGTGCTGCATGATGGGCTTTCTGCCTTGCTCCCCAGGTGGAGTGGGTGTTTCCAGGAATATGTGCTTGTGATTCTTGCTCTCATCTTTTCTAGCTTGTGAACATTGGATCATCCTATAATTATGGGAATGAGGATCAGACAGAATTCCTGTGTGTGGTCTCCAAGGAGTTGTACAACTCCCCCAATGGCCTGAGCTCTGAGCCCAGCCACAAAGCCAAGGTGAGATTAACTTTGCTATGGCCCTGCTCCCATTGCCTATGAGATCCTTTGCTCTTTGCTCCTTCTCTCTTTTCTCTCTCCCTTGCAACAGTGGGGCGCCTCAGTGGTGAAATACAGGGGCCTGCCCTGGTGTTCAGCACTGTGGCATGACACCCTTTGCCCAAAAGGAGGAGTATGTGTGTTGGAGGGGTGGTGTGTGGTTGTGTGTGGCAAATGGCTTTAGCAAGTCACCCTGGCACCTCTCATGCTACTCTAACATCCCCCTCATGCCTCCTCATGCCCATTCTGTGTTTATCACTGCCTATAGGGCATTATTTCCCTGTAGGTTTTGCAGCATTCTCTTTCCTTTTTGAGTCTCAGCCTGAGGGGCAGATATCTCCTGCTCCCCTTTTGAGGGAAGGACAGAAACATGTGCAGTGCATGACATTCTGTAGACACCCAGGATGCAGGAAGGAACACTAGCAACTGATGGCAGTTGTTGGACGGTGGGGTCACAGCACTTGTAAGTGGGTTAGATACCCTGATGAGATACTCCAGAGGAAAACAACCCTCTCTGTTCCCTGACCTAGAATTGTCTTGGCCATGGGGAAAAGTCCCTTTTTATTCCAGTGTTATGACAATTGCTTTGTTCCGTTGTGTGTCAGAAAGAACTGCCATGGCTCATCTTGCAAGCATTTCCACTCTTTCTTCCTTTTGTCCCACATGCTGGGCCACAGAACACAGAGGAGGACCTGGAGGAGGAAGAGCAGGAGGTGGAGGAGGAGGCAGAGGCAGAAGCAGAAGCAGAGGAGAAAGGTGCAGCAAATCCCTGAGGAAAATGATAAAAATAACCCCCCAGGCATAGACTCGTCCACCTTTCTGGTGAGAGCTCACAGCTAGCAGCAGGGAAGGACTAGAACAGGTGTGGGGTGTGGGGGCTGTCCTCTCCAGGAGTTGGAGTCTCTCTGGAGATAAAGCTGTCAGGGGAGAGCTGTTACCATGGCTGCTGCTTTGTATTTTAAACTGTTTGGTTTATCTGCGGTTTTATTTTTATTTGCAGACCGTCCATCTATTCGGGATTGTGCTAAACTCTCTTCCTGCGGACCCTCCCTCCTGCTCCCTTCCGTGTCCATCCCAGCACTGCCATCTACCTCCCACATTGCCCCACTCGCCAGCCTCCAGCATCCTTCCCTCTGCTCTCCTTGTCCCTCAGGGCTCAGAGTGGTCTCTGCCCAGGGCCCTGTCTCTCTCTGCTCCTCACTTTTCCTCCTCTGCAGGTATGTTACCTGTCTGCACTCCCAGCTCCTGCCAGCCTGAGCTCTGCATGAGTGACTCACTTCCCTCTTGTGGGTATGGCCCTGGTTTGTAGAGCTTGGGGAGGGGAAGGAGGGAGGTGTGAGGTTGACTCATCCCTAAGGTGGCTTTACATATTCTGATCCTATGCGTGCCTTTACCTGCCAAGCAGATCCTATGGCTGTGGACCAGAGGCTCTGGCAGCAGAAAGGAGAGTGCAGCTGGGAGAGGGGTGGAAATGAATGCAAAGCAGGCCGGGGTGGTTCGGGGAATGGGTGGAATTTTGCCACGTGTCTGCGTGACATGCATGCCAGATCGCTCCTCCAGACTGCGTCCGCAGCTCCTTTGCCTGCCAGCCCGGGCAGTTTGCAGAAGGCAGCCTGTTATTTTTCCTTCCCTGAGCTTTTCCCCCACAGGCTCTGCCAGGGTGAGAGTGCAGTGGGAAAGGTGGCAAAAGCAGAGCAGAAGCAGCTGGTCCCCACTGCAAATGCTCTCACAGCTGTGTGCAAAATGAGCCTCTCTGCTCTGCCTCCTGCTTAGGAAGGCTGGCTGGCCAACAAGCGTGAGGCTGGGTATGGAGAGTGTTAGAAGAAGTATTCATCTCCATACTGCAGAACTGTGAGGCTCCTATTAAACTGGAGATTCTCAGATTCAATCTCCACCGGCCCTGATAGAGGGCACTTGTTAGCTGGCTGACATTTCTCTCTCCCTCTGTGGCTGTGGGACCTGAGTGTTATTATCTTAAGACTCAGTGTATGTTAATCACATGGACTTTTTCTTCCTTCTGTTCTATTTTCCCACCTTCATTTATTTTCTTTTTCTTCTCTTTGTGTTTCCTCTGTCATTTCCCTTTTTCTGTTTCTCACTCTCCCCTCCATGCTCGGATGCCTTTTTTTCCTACCATTGATTGTGTTTCTCTTTCTCTCTCCTTCTCTAGCTGTTACAAGCCAGAGATCTGAGGATGTGATCTGAACACTCCACTCCAACCTTTTCATTTCTTGTTTATATCTTTATTTTTGTACTGCAGTGTATGGCAGCCCTTTCTCCCACAGTGACACCCCCAACCCCCTTCACTCTTCACATGCAGCCATTTTTTTTTTTTTTTACAAACTCACCTCGGAGGCCTGAGATTCCAGCCCTGGAGGAGGGCAGATGCTGCATGGAGCCCCTGAGCTGCTGTAGGAGCGGGAGCCCACAGCTCCCTCCTATGCCTGGCAGTCTGGCTTTCCTTAATGTCACAGTGGCCCCTGGTGGGGACATCAGCGATCAGCCACTGCAGCCTGCGGTCCCTTCCTGAGCACCCTGGATGCAAATGTGGACCGAGATGGTGGCAGCTGTCTAAGGACCAGCCCTTGCCCTTTCACTGTTGCAGGCAACTGGTGTGGGCTTGTGGCCTGGGGACAAATGCAGAGCCACCGTCCTTTTCTGGGCCACCTGTATGGCTCGGAGGTGTCCCTGTGCTGGGTATCACGTTCCTTGGTGCCTCCCCCCCGTCCCCCAAAGCAGCTCTGTGCCAGCAGTGTGAGAAGGAGAATGGTGTGCTGCCTGGGTACCATGAACATGCTGGTACCTCATGTTGTGTCAGCCAGCACCAAGCAGATCCCAGTTTTGGGGAGCAGGGTGTTTGCTTCACTGCTGTGTCTGAAGACTCCTGAATAAAATTCACAGTCTGTTCCTCCTTGCTGCCTCTCATTTTAAGTGGCAAGAATTCATTCCTCCTGTAAGGGGGTGGGAGTTGGAGAAAAGGAGTTTGGATTCATCACCTGGAGCCACCAGAAGCTGCTTGTGCTGTGCCTGTTTTCTGGGGGCTGGAGGTGCTTCCCGCTGTGTCTGTGCTGCTGCATCCCCAGTGCAGGCAGCTGGGCTACAGAGCAGGTTTGCTTATCTGCAGCCCTAAAGCATAACTGTAAGTGAGGACCACCTGGCTAGTGAGTGACCTTATTGATCCTAGGGACATCTGATTGGGTGGGGGTGGGCAGGGGTGTGGAACCTTTTGCCAGTTGCCAGTGCCAGGACTGGAGTTTGGTCAAAAATATACAAACCTCAAGATAATTTTTAGCAGAGTGAGGCAAACTAGAGCCAAAAAAAAATCCTCAAATTAATTTTATTTATAATTCCAGAGAGTGGCCAGTTATGTACATGAACACACATACACATACACACACGTGTATTTTTAGTTAAAAAACCAAACCTGCAGCAGTTGCAGTTTAAGCCCTGTGCCCTGAAACCTTCTCCTTCATCTCCTGCATTACCTGAGATAGGACATGGGAGAGGTTGAGATGCCCTGATGTTAAAGATATTTAGAAGGGCTGAGGGAAGGGAATGGGAGTCTGCTCCAGCAGTTTTACTGGGGGAAGTGCAGCAGTGGAGGCTGGGGGCTGCTCCAGCAGGGAGGCAGGACACGTGCTCGGGGGCGCGATGCTGGGCTCATGCCTGGGAGTCAGTGAGACGTGAAGAGTTGGCTGGCTGAGCTGAACAGCACACTGAGCAGCACACGCCAGCTAAGAAAAGAAGCAATTAGGGAGATGGAAGAGGAGGAGTGATGGGAGGGGAAGGGGGATGAAGGATAAGCAGCAGGAAGGAAGAGGGAGGCAGATTGATTTCACAGTTACTGGAATCTCTAACTACATCAGTCACATTTTCTTTCAGCAAATGTTCCAGCATAAGACTGGCTGAATCACATGGTTCATGGAAAGTTCAACTCCCCTTATTCCTCTTCTCAGAAACTATCAGCTTGGGCCTATTGCTGTGTGTCATTGCCCCAGACTCCCTCACCTGCCTCCCTTCTCCCTGCTTTTGGATGGATGGCCTAAAAACCCCTTGGGATGCTCCCTGGGAAGCACCAAGGGAGAAGAGGGTCTGCCTGCTTTTCTCCACAATCCCTGCAGCAGCCTTTTTTTACCTAGTTCAGAGGAGCATCCTGGGTCTGACAACATCCCACACTCTCTTTCTTTGGGAGGCAAGTGAGCAAGATCAGGAATGAGTGCCATGTGAGTGTAGGTGTGATGGGGAGAAGACAGAGTTGCACTTTTCTCAGCTCATGGTTTGGTTCATCCAGCCCAGCACTTGAGTGATCCTGGTGTATACTCCATAGTGATTTGCACGTGCACATCCCATTCCCCAGCTGACCAAACCAGCCAGAAACCATCTGCCACTGGGTTCTTTGCAGGCCAGTGGACCTCCAGAATCACCCTAGAAAAAAGAAAAGTAAAATCAAGTGGTGGTGATCCACCAGCTTCTGCTGCTGTCTGATTATGTTGTCTTTGAGCCCCTCTGTATACAGATCCCTGTATCCCCTCAACTCATGGCTGGGACATCTGTAACATTCCTTGTACTTTTAGGCAGATGTAAAAAACAGTCTGCAGTGCAAACATCTGACACAGTTATTCCTTCATCATGCAAATTCCTCCCCCTCAGCCAGGTCCCAAAAAGCTGATTGCTCTACTGATTCCTCCTGGCCCGCATGGCATTTCCAAGTATGTGGCAGGCAAGGATGATTGTTGGAATTTAACTGGATTCCATGAGGGGTGGCAGAGAGGAATTCCTTGAGGTTAATAGTAATGAAGGAGCACACAGGTTATGGTGTATGACAGGTGCTAAAAGGGCTGACGGAGTCACCTGACTTGAAAGTGGGAGGTAGAGTGGAGAATGGGCTGAAATGAGAAAAGGGTAATTTAACTGTATTTGGATCCTAAGGCAAGGATGCTGGGAAGAAGAGGTCATGAGAGCTGTTGTTGGCTGCTTAGATCAGAGGAAGTGTTGGGAGACTGACCTTATGTGGTCTTTTCCCCCTCATTTCAGGCTGTGCATTGCATTTGTGAGACTTGGGACACATCCCACCTCTGGTAATCAACCCTGATCCCACAGCTCCTCTGTCACCTGGCAAGCATCCTTCTTGCCCTGGTAGTACCCAGCACACAGCATCCTGGGAGTAATCATGTAGTGATAAGCCTCACTGCAGATGTTCTGCTGGACGAGCTGCACGTCCACCTTCTGCAGAACATTGCTGGTATGCCCTGAAAAGTAGAGCACCAAAATTAGCACAGGTGGGCCATAGTGGAACTTCCTCTAGACCATGGCCACCTCACTGCATGCTGAAACCTGCCATTGGAATTTCTGTTCCGCTCTCCACTGGCATCACAGTCTTTGACTTTGAGGAGAGCACATTTTTCTGCGTGGAAGGCATAAAATTCCCCTTCATTCCTTTCCCTACAGGCATATGTTGTGGGTACTTCAGCTTTTGGGACAAGGAGTATTCTTCTTTGGGGAAACCTCTGGGTTGTCAGTGTCTTGGGTTTGTTTCTCACTGAAAGGGATGTTAAGCTCTTCTAAGAGTAGTGTTCAGGTCTGTATAGTCTCCTGAGTGTTTCCAATTGGGAAGCAGCTGGAACAAGTCTGTAAGTGGGTAAAGGCACTAAACTGACCTGAAGGGCTATTCTAGTCTTTGAATGAGGAAACACACAGTTCCCATACAGATTACCAGACTGCCATGCCTGCCTCTCCACATGAAGTTTCAGGGCACTCTACAGGCAACTTTGGTCAACCTATTACCAAAATCAGAAGGAGTGAAGGAGGCACAATGTTTTGGGATGAACAGAAGCCTGTTGTGCCTATGACACATCTGAACCTATGTTTCTGCCTCAACACTGCTGCAGTAGGCCACCAAAAGAGACCTTGAACCTACCTCCTTCCTTGAGGGCTCCCCAGCCAGTGATCCAGCAAAGAAGGCCAGGCTCAAAGATGTGAGATGGAGCAGGCAAGCAGATGGGCTGGATTAAGGGTGAGATGATCACAGGATGATCCAGCTGAAGCAGGGCCACATCATAATCATGGCTGTCCTCCTCATAATAAGGGTGAAGAAAGAGATGGATAACCTTGAAGGACACCTCTGTGTGGCCGGTGGCATTTTGCAAGTATTTACCCAAGTAAACGGTCCAGATGGAGGGGGAGGCCAGCCTGTAGGATGCAGCAGAGGAGCATGGGACCCAAAGGGCACACTTTGCAGGTAATGCTATCCCCATCCAAGCACATGCTGACATCTCCATTGCTGTGACAGCATGGGGACAACACAGAGCCAAAACAAAGGAGGAGCTGTGCAGCATCTTCCTCTATCACTGCCCCCTGGGAGCTGCTCTGCAAATCTCAGCATTGCCCCTTTTCCTCTGCACACACCAACAGATAATACTGCATATATCCATACCCCTTTCTTCAGTTCCAAGCCATGGAGAAGCATGGCTGAGGTGCCAGAGGAGGAGTGCAGCTGCCCCATGACATTTTCATCAGTCATAAGAGCCTCCCATCACACATGACAAGGAAAGCAATGCACATCTTTCTACCAGCACCTCCCCTCTCCGTTTACCTCTCATCCTGGAAGCAGTGCGCGGCTGAGACCACCCAGCGGTCAGCAATGAGTGTTCCCCCACAAATGTGCCGGCCCCGAACTTGCAGGCTGGCCTGCCACGGCCATTCCCCTTCCACAGAATTCATACCACCCACAATCCTGCTGAGAGGTGCTTGCATCCCACAGTCTGAGGAGGAGACACAGTAGGTACTTCAGGGAAGAAAGGGAACATGAAACTCTGTGCCTGCCCTTCCATTCCTACTTAGTTGACTGAAGAGTTTGACCTCTAATTGCTCGTCTTACCCAGCCAGCACATGCTTTATGTACTGCCCAGGACAGGTCTAGTGAGCACTCCCTCCCAGCATTCCCCACCTCCAGCTGCAGCCTGGGGATGCCTTTAGGGCAGCATGCTGACTGTGCTAACTGCTGTGCTGTCAGGAAACCCTCCCTGTCATTCTCCTTCACTGCCTACTGAGGCTCAGAAAAAAAAACAAGTAGGGAAATCAAAACATTAACTCTCTCCCTGCCAGTGGCCATGCAGACATGCTGGAGCCTTGAATAATGACATATTAGCTGACAGAGTGGTCAAACAGGCAGCCTGTAGATTGAATCTGGCCTGTCAGGCATGTACGTCTGGCCTGATGCCTCTGCCTGAAGGAGGCAGGGAGCAGCTGTCCAAAGAGCAAGAGCTTGCTCACACTCAGCACAGAGCTGGCTTGTTGCTGCTGTCCCTGCCACTGCAGGATGGAGCAGGGACACTGGTACTGTGGGACTGAGGTGGGGAGAAGGTGGTGGAACAAGGGAGGGTGGCTGCTTCTTCTGGGTGGTGGGAGAAAATGGGGCAACTTGCAGCTACGTGTCGTCCTGAACCTGCCTGGCTGACGTGTGGCTGATCATTTCCTCACCACAGTGATTCTCATCAGACAGGTCCTTGCAGTCTGCAGTGGTGTCACACAGCGGGTTGGGTTTCTTCACACAGGTCCCATCTTCACAGCGGTAGGTGAAAGGACCGCAGGGGACCCCTGCAAAAAGGAAGGGAAGCCAAGACTGAGAGAGGGCAGCTGGTTGTAGATACAGCCTGAAGTCCTTTAAATGAGAAAAAAAGGGCAGCAGAAGAGCTTGGGGGAACTCCATAGATGATGACAGGGAATTTCCTGAACAAACAAATGGCTCACAAACATTATGAGGAGGCTGGGCGAGCTAACTCCCCAATGGTGCCCTTATGTCACATGTGGGAAGTACTCTACAGACAGCCTTGGTTTGAACACGGGGGTGGGCATTTGTCATCCCAGCACTGTCCCGTCCCTACCTCCACTGCAGTGCTCCTCATCACTCCC